TACCTCCGTAAAGTGGAGATGTTGTCAGTACCTATCTCAGCCAGTGGCTCTGACATAAGGACTTAAAGCATGGGGAGGAATTAAAATGACAATGAAGAACCACAACACACCGGTTAGAATGGTCCAAATCCGGGACGCTGACAACCCCAAATGCTGACAAGAATGCAGAGCAAGGGGGACTCCCATTCATTGCTGGTGGGGATGCAAATGGTGCAGCCACTTTGGAAGATGGTTTGATGGCTTCTTAAAGTACTAAATATATTCTTACCTACTATCTAGCAACCACACTCCTTGGTATTTACCCAAAGGAGTTGAAAAGTTTTGTCCACACAAAATCCTGCACACAGATGTTTATAGCAGATTTATTCATGATTCCCAAAAACTTGGACGCCACCAAGATGTCCTTAGTAGGTGAATGAATGAGTATACGGTGGTCCATCCAGACAATGAAATATTATTTGGCGCTGAAAATAAATGAGCTATCAAGACACAAGAAGCATGGAGGAACCTTAAATGAATACGACGAAGTGAAAGAAGCCAATCTGAAAATGCTGTGTACTGTGTGATTCCAACTCTATGACATTCTGGAAAAGGCAAAACTATGAAGACAATAAAAAGATCCATAATAGTTGCCAGGGGTTGGGGGAGTGGGAGGGATAGAGAGATGGGTACAGAGGGTTTTCAGGGCAGTGACACTCCTCTGTATGACACCGTGATGGTAGATCCATGTCATTACACATTTGTCCAAATCCACAGAATGGACACCACCAAGAGGGAACCTAACTGTGTGCTTTGGGTCATCACAGTATGTAATGTAGGGTCATCCTTGGTGACAAATATATTGTTCTGGTTAAAGATGATGTATGAAGGAGGCTCTGAATGTGTAGGTCAGGGGTATAGAGGAAATCTCTGCATATTCCTCTCAATTATACTTCAAATCTCAAACTGCTCTAAGAAACAGAGTCTTAAAAAAAGTGGGAGGGCTTGGGCAAGCTGCCAGCATACGGAAGGAGCTGTGTCACCAACTTTCACAGGGACGTGAGGCAAAGAGGCGCATACTTTTTTTATTTAATACAAATCCCATGAGGTAGGTAGCATTGTCCTTTTATAAGAAGGGAAGGGAACTTTATTTTTATAACTAACATCTACTGAGTGACGACTGCATGCAAGGCCCAGAGTCAGCTCCCAGGGGGCATAGCGATAAGAAGGGTGTGGTGTGGCCCCGGAAGAGTGTCCCTGTTGCTACCTATGGCGGTGGCCTCACATCCAGCTGGGAATCCTGGCTGGACCCCGGGTTCGGGGACACAGGAGTGAAAGCTGGACGCAGAGGCAGAGTCCCAGCTGGGTCCCCCACAGCAGAAAAAAAGGGCCAGGTCCCCAGGCTGGGGCCTGAGGCCTCACCACCTCCTGGAACTAGACAGCAGGAGTGAGGTGGGGCCACCACAGCCCTGCAAACCCAAACAGCGGCGGTGACCGCAGGGCTGAATTTCACTGACACAATGTCGCGCCAAAGAATCCAGATGCAAAAGAGTGTGAACTGTAGCTTCCATTACGTGGGGCTCAGAACCAACCTAAGGCATCCACGCTAACAGAAGTCGTAACTGTCCGTGGGTGTACTCAGAACTCACGTGTAAACTCTACCAAGCTGCACACTTGAGATGTGTGGGTGTTCCTGTAAGTGATACTTTAAGAAGTCGTCTTTAAAAGAATAATGAGCGTAGCCACCTGTACGTCTGAGGGATTGTCTGAGGAGCGGGCAGGAACTGGTCCCCTGGGTTTGAAACCCAGAGACGCCTAAGATTCTCTGAGTCAAGCGCCCCCAGAGACCCTGCAGGTGGGAAGGGGGTCTCTGAGTGGAAGAGCTCAGGAAGCACAGGCGTTTGCATTCAAGAGGTCTTTGGTGAGCTGAGCCCGCCTCCCCTTAAGCGAGAATCCCCACCAGCTGCCAGGAGCGTTGGGGAGTGAGTCAGACCAGGGCGGCACTACTGTCCCTGGCCCATTATTTCCATTTCTCTTTCCTCATCTGCCCACACCCCCAATGTGTTTCATCAAAGAGGCCGACAGAAACACTCCCCCTCAGGACTGAGAGGGTGGAGGTCTTACTGAAGGAGGCAGGGATGGAGAACGGGAGACACCCAACCCACAGCCGTGCTGAGAGCGGCGACTCAGAGAGAGAGCGAAGGGTTGAGACCAAGGTGACCCAGGAGGGGGACACAGGAGTCCCTGTGATGACAAGTAAAGAAAAGTATTAATAACAACCATTTATTCAGCATCTGCCAAAGCCTGAGCACTCATTTAGCCTCCATCCCAACCCTAGGAGGTAGATATTATCATTATGCCCATTTTACAGATAGGAAAACCGAGGCTCAGAGAGGTGAAGTGGCTCTTCCAAGCTCTCCTAGCTGGCATCTAACAAAGCGAGGGTTTAATGCAGGCCAGCCTGACCCCAAAGCCCTTGCTTTTCCCCTCCACCTTCCTAAGTGAGAAGTGGGGAGCCCTGTATCCCCACCCGCACCCAGGGCTGGCGCTAGAGGTGTGCTCCTGACCAAGTCAGCTGTGATTCAGAACAGAGTAGCAAACAGCGAAGCCTGCCACGGGCTGCCCAGAGACGCCAGCCCCCCAGAGCACGCCTCGCTGCGCCGGCTGGGGGATGAGGGACAGTTACTTTGGCCCCTTCACCTCTAGGCAGACATGGAACCCAGGGTCACCCCTCAATGGCTCCTCCAGTTTTCCTGGGGCCCCAGGAAGCGAAGCAGAGCCCCACCTGGGCCACTGAGCCAGCCTGGCAAGGAGGCAGAGGACTAAGAGCACGCCCACCTCCACCCTCCTCTGCCTTTCAAAGCAGCCAGGGTAGTTCCGCAGGAATGAACGCTGCGCCTAGACACCAGTGTGTGCCGTGTGTGCCTGCGTAGCCCCAGGAACTGGCATCACGCCGCATGTGCTGTGTGGGCCCGTGCATCGTTGTGAGACAAACAAATGACAAACAAATAGGCTGTGAGTGGATGTGGGGCTTCCGGGCGCCCGCCCTTGAGAGCCTCTGGAATCTTCTGAGCATCTGGCTCTGGTGGAAGGGGGCCTTACTGTTTGGCGTGGGAACGGTCTTCTCCTAGCCTCCGTACTGAACCCCCTCCACCAGGCCCTCCTTGGAATTTATTTATAGCTGCTCTGGGAGGTCTGTTAGAGAAAGCGCCTGGAAGCTTTGCTCAGGCTGAGGGGGACATACAAACAGCTGGATGGGGGTGGGGGCTGAGGGGGGGGGAGGTAGAGGTGAGAGGCTTGGCCTCCAGGAAGAATGAGATTCCAGCAGAAACACTGCCCCCTCCGCGGGCTCTCCTGTCCTTTGCCACACACATCGTAAGCGCCTGCAGTGTGCCAAGTCGGGATGCAGAACGCCGGAGTGACCCAGTCCAGACCCTGCCCTTGAGGCCGAGTAAGAATATTCCTCATGGACGAGGGGTTTTACTGAGCACTTCCTCGTGATTACTTTGTGAGCAACCATACTACGTCTTTCATTGACTCCCTCGCTTTCTCTCTCAGCAGAGGGTTCCAAGGATACATAGGCAGAAATCATACAAGTTCAGGGTTGCTGACCCTTGCAGGGTGGGGGCCAGTGGGGGAGAGGTGTGGGAAGCGGGGAGAAGTGGGAGTGAGCAGGTAAATGCCAAGTTCAGAGAGGGCTCTGTGTGGCCTTGGCAGAGAGCCATGCGCGCTCGGCAGCCCAGGTAGACATCAATTCCCAATGACGATGGAAACGAGGGATGCTGTGTGACGCCCCTGGCCTCACGCCTGGGAAAAGGCGGGCTGTCTCCCCCCCCCCATCCCTGCACAGTGCTACTGTGAAGTAGGCTCTCAGAAACAGAGCTCGGCCCCCATCTGCTCCCCTGTTCTCTCTGGACAAATTGCCTCTGAAGACACGCCCTGGGTCCCACGTTCCTCGAGGCACTTGGAGGAGCACAGTTGTGTTCCTGAAGATGTGTGGAAGGAAATCTCAATGCAGAGTTCCCACTGAAGCGCCGGGGCCCAGAGAAGGAACTTGCTGGGGTGTGAGACGAGCAGCAAGGAGACCATCGTGGCTGAGAGTAGTGCCTGAGAGGAAGAATGGAAAGAAAAGTGTCCAGGGAGGCAGCTGGCCTCGGAGGCCATGCCAGGACTGGGGATTCCACGCAAAGTCAGCGGGCGGGCTTTGGGAGGCTGCAGTCAGGAGTGTGCCGTATCTCCATGCAGTTTTCCTGGGCTGGGTCTGGTGGCTCTGAGAAGCGTGGAGGGTGGGAGGACACCATGGGTCATCACTCGAGAGGCTGTCCCGGAGACCCACCTGGGGATGAGGGGACTGGGCGAGAGCAGAGCAGGACCCATGGAGACCCCACACCTGTGGGGCAAGCGTCCAGCAGGGCGTGAAGGCCGCACACCCCAGGGGTAACATGTGCCCAGATATGGGGAGACAGCTCCAGCTGCAAAGGACCTGGCTGAGGGGCAGGGAACGGCAATCCCACAAATTGGTAAGCACAGCATCAATTTGTAGAGGAGATGATGGTGTGAGCCCGAGCAGAGCGCTGAGTTCATTTGTGAATTCCTGTCATTTCTAGATCAGTGCACTCAAAGCCATCTCCTCTGCTTGCAGCCAGGCGGAGAGGAAAGAAAGATGACAAATGAAAACCAGAAGTGGGAACAGCCTGAAGAAAGCGGAGGGAGCTGACTTTCCCCACTGGGCGTGCTTTCAAAGCCCCCCACCCGCCCACCACAGTAACTGTATCTCCTGCTCCACCCGGCACCCTCCCAGGAATTCCTGCTCTCCACCTTTGTGAAACAGCCTGCAGGATGGCCCAGCTCTCTCTGTGAGAATTTGCCACCCCAGTGTGAAATCATAGCCCTGCAACTTTCCCTTTAAGACTGTCAGAGTCGGGGAGGCAGCCAAGCCTGGGCTGGAGGTGGGGACAGAGGGAAGAAAGAAAAAAAGAGAGAGGCAGGAAAAGTTTTTTTTTCAGAGGAAAATGCAGGGTTTGTCCTTACCCCTGACGTCAGATCTTGCTTCCATAAAACCCCCAAGGGCTGTGGGACGAGGCGTATCTGGTGCCTCTGATGGGCTGGGCCAGTCTCGGCCCGGCTCCCCCGAGAGGTGGTGGGTCCTCTGGGCTGCTCGGTCGATGCCTTTGCCACTGATTTCCAGGCATGAGGTGGTTCCTGCCCTGGACGTTGGCAGCAGTGACGGCAGCAGCCGCGGGCAGTGCCATGGCCACGGTGAGTCCTGCCCGGAGGGGCTCAGGGAGGGTACGTCCCCCAGCTCCCTTCTCTCCCTGGTTCTGTGTGGTGGGCAGGATGAGAGGGGCTGGAAAGGGGGGGGACAGGGCAGGGGGAGTGGGGCTGCATGGGGTCAGCAGACTCGCAGGGTGAGGAGGCAGGGGCAACAAGCGAAGAAACACAAGCAGGTCATTCATGCCCTCTTTCCCACCTGAAACGGAGCAGAAAGGAAGGGGCGCCGAGTCGAACTGGGAACTGGGGGCCTGGACTCCAGACCCCACTTTGCCAAGACTGGCTGTGTGGCCTTGGGCTAGTCACTCATCCTCTCTGAGCAGCGTGAGGTGAGGAAGTTGTTAAGAGACTTCTAGAGTCATTGAGTTTGGAAAACGAGCCTCTAAGTGTTGGATACATTACAGGAAGAGGAGATGGAAAATGCCAAGAAAACTTGGAAAGGAAAATGCCAGCTTTCAACAAAAGTGCCTCTCTCGAGTAAACAGTGCTTGGGGTGATTTCTAACCCCCGCTGCTGCCACCTTGGGCTTGCAAAGCCCTCTACAGTTTAGGGAGCACGCACGTTAGGGTCCTGCGTATGAAGCTCGCTGTCTCAGGGGAACGCTGAGGGTTCCCTGTCTCCCACTTCCATCTCAGGGCATGTCGAGGGGAAGGGAGGGAGGTCTGCACCTCCAAGAAGCCAGGGGAGCAAGATACGTGGCAACACAGCGCCGGCCTGCTCGGCTGGGTGTGGAGACAGGCACAGGGCGGGCAGGAGGGGGCAGCTGGGAAGAGCCACTGAATCCAGCGTCCCAGGGCCTGCTGCCAGTCGGGAAGCCAAGAGGCAGAGGGAGGGTGGCAAGAGGGGTTTTCTTACCCACTTATACTGGCAGATTCCTTTGGGATCAATGTGCCCCATTCGTGGATGAGGAAACTGAGGCTCGGTAAGCAAGTAGCTTACCCATGGGCTCAAAGGCGCCGGTTCTGATTCAACCTGACCTGAGGCAGAAAGCTGGCAGCTGACTGTATCCAGGTGCCTCACAGGAGCTGGGTGAGGGGTCTTTCCCCACGCGCCATAGAGTGACTGACGAGGGCAGGGGGATTGTCTGTCTGATTCATTGTTCAATTCTCCGTACCCTGCGTGGCGCCTGCCTGTCCTGCAAGAAAAGGTATTCATACCGTTTTACAAACGCAGAAAACAGAAACAGAGCAAGTAAAGGACTTGCTCAGGGTCTCATCATGAATCAATGGCCGGGGCTCAGACTTAGAGCTTTTCTTGCCAAATCCCACTCTTTCTTCCAGAGTTTTCCAAGCATTTCCTATAGACTAGAGTAACCAGAAGGAGCCAACTCAGCCCTTCCTTCATGGCTGGGAGGACAGGGAGTGGATGGAGAAGAGGTGAGGGCTGGAGGACAGTGAGGTCTGAGTGAGGCGGCGGCGGGGAGAAGTCTGCAGGTGGGCACAGGGACACTGGGGCCCCAGGTACCTCCCAGAGCTGCCAGCGCTGGGGAAGAGGGGGTACAGAGCCATGGGCTCAGCCCAGGGGACACACAGCACAGGAGCCGAGAGTCCAGATGGTCCCAAAGAGCAGGGTGAAGGCACCTCCTTTCCGTGCAGCCCCTGCCTGGGGACCTCCTTTGGGAACCCAGCGGGACCCACTGAAGAGCGCCCCCCACACAGCCGAGCGCTGGAGCTCTGCAGCATCCTTACTGCCCCCCCGGTGAGGGCCGTAAGACGAAGGACAAGCAGTGTCCTGCTTTACGGCCAGATTCCGGGCATGGCCGTCCTCCCCTGAACGAATGTATACAGGGAATGCGAGCCTAGTCAGGGCCCCAGTGGGGTTTTCATGGAAAAACTGATTATAGATATTCATATGGAAGGAAACGTGTGTGAGAATCGCCAAGAAAGCTTTGAGGAAGTGAGGTTGTGAGGGAGGGCTCACCCCATCGGATAGTAAAACGTTATCTAAAGTTTCTGTAATCAAAGGAGGAAGAGATAAATCAAGGAGCGAGACAGGGTACTGAGCTCAGACTCCGAGCCAGGTGTACTCGGGAACGTAATATATGATAAAGGTGTGCTGCAGATATGACTTGTTTTTCCATCGCTTTGTTCTTCTCTTCCTGCTACAAGTATTCAGTACCCATCAGGTGCTAAAAGAAAGGGCTACATTTAGCATTGCCAAGTCCTATCTACGTCTGTCCGTAAGGCCTTCCTCAGTTCATCCAGCAGACATTTATTAAGCACCTCCTGACATTCTCATAGCAATACTATGAAGCAGATGCTCCTATCGTCCTTTGTAGATGCAAATCCTGAAGCTCAGAGAGGTTAAGTAATCTGCCCAAGGTCACACAGCTAGTTTTCAGTGGAGCCGACATTTGAACCTAGGTCCAGCTCTGGGCAGCACAACCTGCTGCCTCCCTGGTCCACATACTGATGCAAGGATGAGAAGCACATGGTCCCTGTCCCTAGTGAGCTTATAGGCTAGTGAGGCAGGTGACAGCCACCCACACGTCAGAACGAGAGGTGACAGGGGAATGTCATCCAGGAGAGACAGGCTGGGTGCAGGCTCTGCCACTGGCTGTGCCAGCTTCAGCAAGTCCCTTACCCATTCTGGACCTCACTGTCTCCACTTGTTAGTGGGGCCAACAACCTCTGCCCCTCCACAAACTCCCTGCTGCTGGGGAATAAACATAGGACCTCTTGAGAGAAGCCTGTGAGAAGCGTGGGGTTGGGTGGACAAATGCTGTGCTAACACATACTTGGGGGGATCATTAGGTCTGCGGTCACCTGCGTGCAGTGGAGACCCGTATCCGTTCTCCCACATACAGGCACGTGGGGGTGCACAGGTGTGCATGTGTACAGAGCATGCGTGTAGTGGGGGTGTGAGTGCCTGAGGGTGAAATGCAAACAGGTTCTCCGCTCCGAGGACCACCTGTAACATAGCGTAGGCCCTTTTAAAAGGCGTATCCCTGTTTAAGAGTGAGAGCACAAACACTACACCTTCCTTACACCTCCTATCCCTAGCTGGGATCTGAGGGAACATTTCAAACCCCACCCCAGGCCCCACACCCAGCAGCTCCCAGCTCAGCCCTTCAGCCCACCCCTTGTCTGGGATGCCGGCGAGAGCCAGGCAGGGGTAGACATGTTCCACCTGGCATGGCCCTTGGCTGGGCTTGCTCTCTGCAACGGGCATGGGAGCATTGCTCCTTGAGAGGCCGGACCCTGGCCTCGGGCTGGGTTCCTGGGCCTGTCAGCAGAGTGGAGGGAAGACACCTCCCCCAGGTTTCAATAAGGGCTTCTGCCCGCCACCTCCCCCCCGCTCCATGCCCCCCTCCCACCTCACCAGCAAAGCAGCCAAATGCCAGGAGGCTGCTCTGGCTTTGGCTTTGTACAAACAGAAACCCTGGAATTCCTCCCAGGAACCTCCGCCGCCTCTCTGGGAGCAGGGAGGGGTTGCTACACACACTATGGGTAACATATGGTTCAGGGTGGGGTCCCCAGAGGGGCCCGGCGAGATACTAACCACGGCCCGGGAAGCAAAGCAAGAAAGGAAGGAAGGGTCTCGATAGAACCATGTAAAACTGAGAACGTCTAGGACCGGAGTGTGGACACACTGTTCATCCATTCAGAGAACATAGGGAGCTCCCTGTGTCCCAGTAATGCGGGTGACGATGCAGGCAACTGTGGGCCAAGTGTTCGCTGTGTTTGGGTGCACTGCTCTGAGCACTCTGCATATATCAACTCACTTGAAAACCACATACCTTTGAGGCAGGCAGTGCCATTCCAGTGCAGACCAGCACCTTCCAATCAGGAGCCACTCCCCCACCTGAGGCTACTGAGCATGTGACACGTGGCCAGTCCCAGTAGAGCTGTAAGACTTAAATATGCACCGGAGTTCTAAGACTTAGTGTGACTACAAGAACGTAAAATTCTCGTTATAATTTGTCTATTGACTCCATATTGAAATGGTAATATTTTTCGTATTGGGTTAAACGAAGTATGTTATTAAAACAAAATTCACCTGTTTTTTATGGGTTTTTCGTGTGGCTGCTAGAAACTGTAAAACTGCACACAGGGCCCACATTATGTTTTACTGGACAGTGTTGACCTGGAAAGACACAGGAGTCCACAGAGGGGTTACAGTAGGCGGGGAGGGAAAGCCACTGAGAGCTCTGATCCCAGCTCCTCCACTTCCCAGCTGTGCGCACTCGGACAAGTAACCCAGCCTTTCTGAGCCATTGTCTTCCTCTGTAAAAGGCGTAATAGTGGTACTTACTTCTTGGGGTTGTTGGGGCAATTACAGAATAAAACGGGGATAAGGCATACAAAGCCCCTTGCACAGCTGAGGGGACATGGGGAATGACCCCCGTTGTTCTAAGAGCAGGAGCGGGGGCATTCCCAGCTTGAGTGGAAGCACTGGCCGGAGACACGGGCCAGGTCCCAGCCAGCAGGGCTTTATAAAGGCCCCAGGCTCAGCGCCAGGCGGGTGGAGGAGGGGCGGACTCAGTGCTGAAGAGCCAAGGTTTCCACATCCTGGGTTTCGTGTAGGAGAAATACTGATGATGGTGGTGATGGTGATGATGATGGTGGTGATGATGGTGGTGATGGTGGTGATGATGGTGGTGATGATGGTGCTAGTGGTGGTGATGGTGGTGATGGTGATGATGGTGATGGTGACGGTGCTAGTGGTGGTGATGGTGATGGTGGTGATGATGATGGTGGTGATGGTGGTGATGATGATGGTGGTGATGGTGATGGTGGTGATGGTGATGGTGACGGTGCTAGTGGTGGTGATGGTGATGGTGATGATGGTGATGATGGTGGTGATGATGGTCATCATGCTGATGGTGGTGATGGTGGCGATGGTACTGACGATGGTGATGGTGGTGATACTGATTCTTGCAGGTGAGACTTGTGTCTTACAACCCCGAATCAGGGTCCCTTGACGCTGACCATGGATTTCAGAGCCCACCCACTTACTTGTTCCACAGATGCTAACAGCCCTGCTGT